TTAAAATTTATAAATTTAATAAAATAAAAAGTTAAAAATAAACTTTTGCCCTCAAAGAATCGATCGATACAAACATGGTTTTGTTTGGCTTTTGTTCAATACTTAGTGTAATGGGGTCAAAACTCTATCTTAACATATTCCCCTAATCCCAAAAATACTTCTAAACCATAATACTAAGAGGGAATTATTAACCTAATTGGAGCTCTCTGAGCTTCTCCGCTCGGTTCAAAATAACAACAAAAATACAATAAAATAATAAAATAAAAAACAAAACGAATTGTTGAAATATTTTAATAAAAATATTTAATTTATAATATTTATTATAATCATATTTAGACTTTTTTGGGAACACAATATGGTGCTGTGACCCGGGGCAGAAGGAATAGAGTGGATTTGTAGGTAGGTAGGGCCTGTTCTAATGTTTTGTCTGAATTTTACTCTAGAGGTATGAATGCTAGCTGCACTCGCCTTTCTCCAGCACTGTCCAACACTCCTTCATCTAAAATAGCCACGTGAACTTTTCTAGTTGGAAACTTTGCATTGCGAGCCAAAGTTTGTTACATGGACATTAAAAATAGATTAATATATACATATTATTTTACTTTAGTGTACAATAAATTAATATTATGGCCAACGGTCGCTTTAATTACTGTACTTCGGTTACTTAGAGTTAGCAATTAAATATTAAACTTTGAAGGATTACTGCTTGAAACGGATTCATTCACCAGTCCGTTTAGTTGGCTGCCGTTTTACCCGATCAACGGTGTAATACATTTACCGGATAGAAAAAGAAAACACTGGTTATACTTACTTAATAGAGAGAAAGGAAGAGATAGAGAGAAATAGAAAGAATGAATTTTAACTCTACTGACTTTAATTTATATTATACTACTTTTTATTATTTTGAATATTACATAAATTTATATAATTAAAATCTAACTAATCATTATTTTTTGGAAATGACATGATATATTATTTAATTAGGATGTAAAATTGTAGTTTTTAAAAAGACAATTGAAATCTACTTTGTATTTAAAAAAATTTTATTTCTTCTAATATGTGATTTTTATTATAAAAATTAAGAAAAAAAAAGAGCTTTTATATAAAAGTCTCTTATATTTGAATACAAAAGGAAAATTTAACTAAATCAACAAAAAAATAATTTGTGAGACAAAAATACAAAAAATGCACTTTTTTTTTTTTGATAAGCAAATAAATTTATTATTATCCTGAGGAGCACAAGGGGTGCTCCAACCCATATACATGAAACAAATAACTCATACAAGAAAATCAAACAAAATCAGCAGCCAAGTATCCATTCACACCACCCCATGAGTCTGCTTGTAGAACATCTTCAACAGCCTCTTATGTCTTTTGGCTTCTATAGCAACCTGCAATGGGTTGTTCTGCCATTCGGAAAAAGAAAAGACACACCCTTTCACCTTAATCTTAATCCAAAAAAAAGTCTTGGCTTGCACCAT